CTGCTCAGACAGGAATCTTTGCTGCATCGTTTCAATCACTCTAACAAGTCCTGTTTTTTTTTTTGTTTGTTATTGCTTGTTGTTTAGGAATTTTGACCAGAAGCCTCAAATGGACAACTTATTGCTGCTGCTACTGTTCTAAATTAAATCACCCACTGACGGTGCTAAAGATATGGGTATTTTTAGTGATACATTGAAATTTGCCACAAAACACTAATTAGAGAGTATGGATCAAAATGTGACAATAAAAATCATTCTCACTTTTTAGCCTTCAAAACAATAAAATTTAATCTATAGAATGTTGAAAGAAATCCAAAATATGAAAAGATTTGTACAAAAACTTGATCATGTTGTGCATAATGGGGAAAAACATAAAGAAAACATAATTACTGGGCACTGCGGCAAACACCTATAATCATAATTACTAGGGAGACTAATGTAGGAGGATCTCAAGTTCAAGGCCAGTCTGGGCAATTTAGCAAGAGCCGGTCTCAAAATAAATTTGAAAAGACCTGCTGGAGGCATAGCTCCATGGTAAAGCACTTGTCTATCAGGCACAGGTCTGGGGTTTGATCCCCAATACAGAAAGAAGGAAGAAAAGAAGCAGGGAAAGAAAAAGGAGACACAGTCATCTGACAAGTACGCTTGCCAACAGGTCTGTCTGCCTATTAGAGGCAGAACTAAGTCACATTCACACACTGGACATAAACCCTGCATTCTGTTCATTGTAGCTTTTATACACAAGGCCCTAGAGTAAGTTTGGGGTACTGGAAGTGAGTTTCTTATCTATAACAGAATTGAAAATTGATTTAATTTATTGCTAAGTGAAAATATTGCCATATTTTAGGAATACAATACAGTTACATCATTGGGAACTTGACCCTTTACATGACAAATCTTGGTTATTTTTTCCCCATTCCCCTGCCCTTCCTGCAACCCCTGTACCCCTCCCTATTTACAAAGACTTTGTTTCTACTTTTTCCTTTTCTTGTATTTTTTTATTTTCCCTTCTTTCCTTTCTCCTATATATTTTTATAAGAATAGTAGTATAGGCTGGGTGCATTATTAAATGTTGTTTTGAGCCAGGTTTATCGTTGTCTTTCTTAGAGAATTACTTCTTTAAGTGACCTACTTCCCCATGACACCCTCCTACTTTTCTCCACATTAGGATGACAAGCTCTGATTCAGCAGATGAAGTCTTGAATCTTCTCAAGATAAAAAAGAGCTGTTACCTCAAGTAACAATGAGTGGTTTTGCATATTTAAGATTTTTAAATGTGTAGAACTTTTAGACAAGTAATTAGTGGAATCGTCCTTCTGATGTGAGACAAATGGTGATTCTTTTCTGATTATACTAAAATGTACCATTCATCTCTACATTCCCGAATTACAACACAGTGTAGATCCCAATTAATCTCTCCTATACACTAAGCAAAAACAAATGTACAGGGACAAAAATGAGGCTGGCTTTATCTATAATGCAAAACTATTTAACACAGTCAGCATTTCTTACCACACTGGCTACTGAGGGAGCTTAATTATAAAAGGGCTAGCACAAAGCCAATTATATTAGCATGTCTAGGTCTAGTTGAATTTTTTTTCTGCAATCAGTGGAATCAAACAAGTTTTGCTAACATTCATGGGTCCTTATTTAATCAAACTATTTTTTGCAAAATGATATAAGGCTGCAGTTTGTATGCAAACAGTTGGCATTTCATAATGTATCTTTAGTTACTCTTAGCAAAATCATTTTGACCATATGTGGTACCTAAGATTTACATACACTTTCAACTTTTCTATTTTATTGTCTGAAATAGCAACTCCCTTCACATTTACATTACTTAGCTTTTCCATTATGCTTATTTTCTGAAATTATTCAATAAGTAAGTTTTTTGACTGCTACCTCCATGAAAATGTAAGTTGTGTGAGGGTAAAAGCTTTGTCTTATTGGTCTATCTGCAGTACTTATTACTAGACCCGACATGTAGTAAGTGTTTAATTAACTATGCACAGACTAAACAAACTTAAGGTTTGGTTTGCTAAAATGAGTGGCCAATAGAAGCTTTCTACAAGATTTATATTCTGTAATGTTATAATTTTATACTAGCTGAGCATGCTTTCAAAGAACTACTTACTCATAGCAGATTTTAAAGATATAAAATGTGCTGGAAATTTGGTATTTGCTTATGCCTCTGGTCCTTAGTAACCTCTTAACAGTATTTCAAGATTCTGTGGTTATTAGGAATATCTAAAAATGCTACTGAAATTATTCAGGAGGCAAAGGTAGAATGGCTTTCAAGTGTTAACATTAATCCTTTGAGCCCTCCTAGTATGGTTTAACTAAATTAAATCTCTTTAATGCCACCAATCTCTCTCCTCCTTTGACTTGGGCGCACACACACACACACACGGAAATTTTCTTTTTGATAAAAAGGAACATTATACAAACTCTCTGCTTCCCTTAGTATTAGCAGCTTTCAATCACTGTGACAAAATTCCTAACATAAACAGCATAAAGGAAAGATTTCCTTTGGCTCAGGTTTCAATCCATGGTCAGCCAGTTTCATTGCTTTTATGCCTGTGGTAAGCAGAAACATCCTGGTGGAAAGAGGTGAAGAAAAGCTGCTCACCTTATGGCAGCCAGCAAGTAGGTGGGGTGGGAGGAGGGATGGAGGGAGGGAGGGAGAGACTTGCAGCAGAAGGGTAGGGACAAGATAATATAGTCTTCCTCAAGGTTATGCCCCCATGATCCACTCCTTTCAACGAGGCCCCACCTCCTGTTTACACCTTTTCTAGGTATTACCATCAAATTATGATCTGATTAATGAATTAAACCACTAATGAAATTAGAACCTTTATGATTCAATCACTTGAAAAGTCTCATCTCTGAGTTCATGAGACTTGAGGGGGGCATTTTAAACCTAAACCATAACATCCTTCTTCCCTTAGCCTCTGTAATCACAAAGAAGTAGACTTTTAAAGATTCAGACATGTATGCCTCAGACCAACGCACTGAGTAGATGTTAACAGTCCACTTTGAGCTGATGATCAGCTGTGCAGCCTCTCCCTTCTCAACCATGGAAGAACTGTGAGTACTTTACTATGAGAAGGTTTTAAGCTGCACGACAGGTACAACTGCAAACACATTATCTGAAAATCTGTTCTATGTATGAGTTGCATGACGACCACTAGGCCCTGTTCTTCAGAATTTCTCAGAGTTATTCCATCTCCACACCCCATGCCACACCTCCAAAAGGAGGTGGGCTTGGTTCTTGCTATGACCCCAGATAAAGATGAACACATCTAACTACTTTGACTCAGCTTGACTCAAGGAGACAAAGTATGTCAGAATATAAGATGTGTTATGTCCACGAAGCAACTCTCCATGAAGAATGTAATCATTATGTACTGCAAACAGGTACTAATAAAAGAACAAAATTTTAAAAACCAAATTAAAAATATATAATAAAGGGCAAATTACACTTTTTAAGAAAAAAAATTTCCTTCTAGCTGGGCTTTTTGAACAGAACAAAGTTGTCTGTTGAATTATCTAATTACTTTCACTATCTAACCCATAAACACGCAGTTAGTATGATGATGGCTTTTTTTTTTTTCCAGAGGGAGAAAAAAATACCACAAAAAAAATTCTGTTTGCATAGGCTGAACACTGGCTTGGCTAATTTATTCCAATCTCTACTATTAAGTCAATAAAAACTGAACTCTAAGGAACAGTCGCATACAAAGTCACTATTCATCATGTGAAACTTATGACCAAAGACTGAAGTTCTCCAGAGGAGGCAGCAGTCATTCAACAGTGCTGTTTTCCTGAGGAGAATACAAAATTTAGTCACTCATAATCATGACATAATCTATGATTGGGGATGTGGGAAAGTAAATAAATGTCTCAGAACTTTTAAAAGTATACTAAACCCAGACCATATGCCACAAAGGACTTAGATTTTGTAAAGATTTATGCCTTTAGCAGTATACGATCATAGACAATCAACAAACCTTTTTCTCAGGCCACAGTATTTTTTAGCTGGAATCGATTTTGTCGCTCATGGTATCATCTGCAGACATTTTTGGTTAGCAAAGCTGGGAGTGGAGGAGGAGAATGTGATGCTGGAACCTGGTGGGTGGAGACCAGTGATGCTGCTAAACATTCTCCAATGCACAGGGCAGTCTTCCAAAACAAAGAATTGTCCAAGCCAAAATGTAAATAGTACCGAGGGTAAGAAACTCTGCTCTATAATGATAGAAATCAAAAGCATGAAAAACCAGCATGATGTTTGGGGGCCTAGTGGCTTAAGTGAAGCCAAACTAATTGTCTATGGCTGTGAGTCTTGGACATAACCCTAGACTTCAATGTTTCAAACTGTGCTTAATAAAGTAACACTGTGGGATCAAACAGATGTGCTTTATTCCTGTATCAGTTGATCAGTTACAGCACTGAGAGAGGTGCCCCTCTGCTCAGCTGGTGGGACAAGTGTTTTGGTTGAAGTAAAAGCAAGATGAAATCATGACCCATTCGCCCAAATTATAATACCAAGTGGTACCTATGTTGATAATGTTAGGAACTTAGGGACAGAAACCTCAGGTCTTTTGAGCAAAGACAGTATTAGGTAGTCTATTATTTAGGATTAATGCTACCAGGCCTGTTCAGCAACAGGGATAGTTGCAAATTCAGACAGTGTCCTCTGAATGCAGCATGAGAAACAAATGTCAGACATGGATGAGACCCCAAGCAGAAAACATGGATCCACCTGTGCCCAGACCTAGTTTTGGACCTAGCTGTGCCAGTGTAGGCAAGTCTCAAACCAGTTCTATCATCCTCATTCAGTATTTTCCTAACTACCTGCTTTGGTATCAAAGGATAAGACAAGTCTGCACCAACATACCAGCGAGATATACTTATCAATTGGCAACAGTGTGTGGTACAAGATATAAAGAACAAAAGGACACATGTAGGCTTGCACAGTCAGAAAGACCTTTAATTGGATAATCATTCATTCACCAAATATCTGCTGAGCCTCTCCTCTGAATAAGGTTTAAAAAGTTCTATATTTTTGTTTTTAAAATTATGTTAAATAAACCTAAAAAGCTCTTTAAAAGTTTATATCCTCAGATTTATAGCAGTTCATACTGAGTTCCACCAATAAAGTCCCTTGCTGCACCCCACACAGGACAGATGGGTCTCCATTAGCTAATACCCTTCCAGGTGGTGCTGACACAGCAGAGATCCAAATATTCCTCTCTGTGGGGAATAAAGATGTAATTTCTATACGTAATCTGATGACAACCTACTATTACAACTTTCTTCATAGCCCTGGGTTTTCAGAGATCCAATGCATATGTAAAGAATATATGCAAACAAATAAACTAAAAAACCTCAATGCAATGCTCTCATCGCATCTCTGCTTATCTTTGTGATCGATGCGCACAGAACTCAGGGCTGGCCTTCAGTGTGCTATATTAGGGAGAGCTGTTTGCTGGGGGAGCAGAAGGCCTCGGTTCCAACAGTTACATCTTCAAAAAGGCCACCTGGAAAAGAAAGAAAAGCTCACAGTGCATTACTGATATGACATGATGAGATCCTACATGCATATTAAATCAGAACCAGGAAAGTCTGGTCAATAAGAAGCCATATTTCAAAAGAAAAGGGACCTGGTGGAGCTAGAGATTGCATTTTATAAGCAGGAACCAATTAGTCTTTCTTAAATGAACCATAGAGTACTCAAAATGATTTACATGCACTTTAAAGCAAATCAAAAAAATAAATAAATAAAATAAAGTTTTAATTGGCACTAAAGTTATACTGCCATGAAGTAATTCAGTTCTCTTTCCCATTGGTTCCAACTACTGTTTTGGACCTTCCACAAGCAGAATTCTGAGTCCTCATCACTGCTGGTAATTACACCAGCCTCTCCTCAGGTCATGCTGATAGTTTTAATCACATGCAATTATATTTATTGTGTTTGTTGGCAGCGATTCATCTTAAAACATAGTGTAAAAGAAACTTTAATTTATACAGACTTATTTTCAAAATATTTTCCGACTATTAATGAAGATGAGATCAATACATTTAATTTCTCAAAAGTTTTAATCTCAGAGAAACAAACACTGATAAAGTCAATCAAAAGTTTAGAAGGTTGTAGTTCAGAGGTGACAATAATTTGGGAACTGTGATGATACCAAAAAGAGAGGCAAATGCAGAAACACTGATTGGGAAGTGTGAGAGGCTGGAGAAGCTCATGCTTGACCAGGGAAGGTAGGGTGAGAAATATAAGTAAAAACATTCCCCTCCTAAGGAATACGGGACATCTGTCAATTAGAACAGGAAAATTGGTTCCTAAGTTCCCAGATGCAATCAGAGGAGGCATATATTTAATGGTCCCTGTTAAGGGGAAAGGAAAAAGGAAGAGTCATGCAGGGCAGAAGGCATCTGCTTTATGTTGAGTAATTCAGAAGGATGCTACTCTTCATACAGTGCTGGTAAGAAAGAGACCTGCTGAGTTTCCATATCAACTTCCTGCTGAGTTTCTGTATCAAGTTTTGCAATGAGAGCAGCAAGTTGAAGGAACAAGCACAGAAGAAATGTTAAGACTTCTAAACAAAACGTAAACATGGATAATTGATGTAAGCCTCAAGGGTTTGTTGTGACGATCAAATGAGATGGTGGCTATGAAAATCTATGTTACTTTCCTTCATCTCTCAGTTATTAACAGATAACACTATCCCATGAATATACAAGATGGGAAGGAACTGTTCACTAGAGACTGATACGTGGGCCACTAGGGAATGATTACAGAATTACATGAAAAGGGAAACCAGAGGTCCTTGAGACCCACTCTGGATACCAATGCAGGTGATATTCTGCTTCAATAAAACAGTTCTCAGGGTCAGGAAGCTTACGGCTTATAGGAAGACATTGTCACTGCATATTCAGAAACAGGAAGAGGATGGATGAAAATCAGTAATTCTGCAAGTTGTTACATTGCGGAATATTCCAACATAGGAATAGGAATGACTCAGTACAGAAAATAGAGACTTTATCTCTGATGTCATACAGACCAGCTTTTCTCATCTGGGGAACAACTTTAGCCACCAAAGAAGATCTGGCAGTGCCTGGAGACAGTCTTGGTTGTCAACATCCGGGAGAGGGTAACTACTAGTAACTAGTAGGCAGAGGCAAAGATTTTCCCTCAACATCCTAAAATGCACAGGGCAGCCCCTACAACAAAGAAACACCAGCCCCAAGACATCAAGAGTGCCAATATTCCGGCTTGGACTCAAAGCCCTCTCTCCTGTGCGTCCTCCGCTGGAGACGCGCCCATTCCAGCAGGTGCTGATTGACTTCAACACAGCACCAGGTGGGTGAGTTTTACATCCTTGCCCCAGCTTGGACTCAGAGCCCTCTCTCCTGTGCTGCCTCTTCTGCAGCCACGCTGTTTCCAGCGGGTGCTGAGTGGCTTCAACACAGCGCCAGGTGGGTGAGTTTTACATCATTGCCCCGGCTTGGACTCAGAGCCCTCTCTCCTGTGCTGCCTCTTCTGCAGCCACGCTGTTTCCAGCGGGTGCTGAGTGGCTTCAACACAGCGCCAGGTGGGTGAGTTTTACATCATTGCCCCGGCTTGGACTCAAAGCCCTCTCTCCTGCGTGGCTTCCTCTGGAGCCGTGCTGTTTCCAGCGGGCACCACTGATTGGCTCAGACACAGTGGCAGGAGCACCATCGCGCCCCCCCACCACCACTAATAGATCCCCTGACTGAGACAGTCTAGGACGCACTCTGCAGAGGCGTGGCAGGCTATATATGTTTCTGTGTATCGATAGGGATAAAGGATAGGGATTGATTTGATGAGTTTTCTCAATTATGAAAATGAGAATGTCTATAAGTCATTAGAGAATCAAAGGCTGTGACGAAACGATATCAGGAAGATTTAATGAACCAGAGATTGAATCAAGGTCAATCCAACAGCAAAAATAAAGATGAGAAAACACTTAAGCAAGCCACAAAGACAGACTTCCAGTCCACCAATGTCAAACAGTAGGGAAAAGGAGGATGAAAAATCAGATAGTGAACCTCCAGGACACTCAGAACTCACAGCACAGGAAGTAAAAAAAATCAATCAAGCTCTAGAAAAATTCAAAATAGAAAAGCCCTCTCTCCTGCGTGGCTTCCTCTGGAGCCGTGCTGTTTCCAGCGGGCACCACTGATTGGCTCAGACACAGTGGCAGGAGCACCATCGCGCCCCCCCACCACCACTAATAGATCCCCTGACTGAGACAGTCTAGGACGCACTCTGCAGAGGCGTGGCAGGCTATAAAGGGTGGTGATTGATCCTATTATGTTTCTGATTGTATCGATAGGGATAAAGGATAGGGATTGATTTGATGAGTTTTCTCAATTATGAAAATGAGAATGTCTATAAGTCATTAGAGAATCAAAGGCTGTGACGAAACGATATCAGGAAGATTTAATGAACCAGAGATTGAATCAAGGTCAATCCAACAGCAAAAATAAAGATGAGAAAACACTTAAGCAAGCCACAAAGACAGACTTCCAGTCCACCAATGTCAAACAGTAGGGAAAAGGAGGATGAAAAATCAGATAGTGAACCTCCAGGACACTCAGAACTCACAGCACAGGAAGTAAAAAAAATCAATCAAGCTCTAGAAAAATTCAAAATAGAAATTATTTCCCAGATAACCATAGAGATGATGAGCCAAATGAAAGACATGATTCAAGAATCCAGAACAGAAACTGACAAAAAAATAGATGAGCTTGGGAACATAATAGAAACTATGAAGGCCCAGAATAAGAAAGAAATGGAAACAATGAACACCCAACACTGGAAAGAAATAGAATCCATTAAACAGATTCAAACAGATATCCAGGAGATTAAAAACTCTACTGAAAGCATATGCAACAGAATAAAAGACTGCAAAAGATTGCAAAGATAGAATCTCAGATATAGAAGATAGGATAGCAGACATTGACCATGAAAAGGGAGGTCTCTTAAAAACAGGGAGCATGAGAAATCGATCCAACAACTCCTAGAAGATGCAAAGAAGAATAACATAAGACTGATAGGAATCCATGAAGTACCAGGAGAAAAGGCAAATGACTTAAAAAAGCTGTTCAAAGAATTAATGACAGAAAACTTCCCAAACAGAGGAGAAGAATTAGACATATAGATAAGTGAGGTATATAGGACACCAACTAGCCATGATAAAAAAAAAAAATCTACACCTAGACATATAATAATCAAGATCCCAGAAACCCAACAGAACAAAATACTACAAGCAGTAGGAGAAAAGAAAGAAATCACATGCAAAGGAAAGACCATCAGAATCACAGCAGACTTTTCAAAACAAACCCTCAGGTCAAGGAGAGCCTGGAGTGAGGTATTTCAAGTCCTAAAAGAAAACAACCTACAACCAAGACTGATGTATCCTGCAAAACTCTCTTTCAAAAATGGATGGAGAAATAAGATACTTCCACGACAAAGAACACTTGAGAAACTTCATGAATACTAAACCAGCACTACTAAGAATTTTAAACAATATCCTAGAAAAAGACAATGAAGATCACAACACCAGGAGGTCCAACAGAGCAAATCAAATAGCCAAGGCTAGAAACTAAAAAGAGAGGACAAAAACTAAAAAGAGTCAACAAAAGGACAATAACATGACAATAATAAGTCAGTACATATCAGTTATAACTATCAATATCAATGGCCCCAATTCACCAATCAAGAGAAATAGACTGGCAGAATGGATTAAGAAGCAAAATCCAACAATATGTTGTATACAAGAAACACACCTAGTACAAAAAGAAGCCCATAGACTGAAAGTGAAAGGATGGAAAACAATTCTCCACACGACAGCAGCACAGAAAAAAGCAGGGGTAGCAATCTTATTCGCAGACAAAGCAAATTTCAAACCAAAACTGATTAAGAAAGACAAAGAAGGCCACTACATCCTTGTAAAGGGAACAATCCAAGAGGAAGAAATGACAATCATAAACATATATGCAGCAAATATAAATGCCCCCAACTATATAAAACAAATATTAAGTAACATGAAAAACCAAATAAGCACTAATACAATTGTAGTGGGGGATCTGAATACCCCACTATCAAAAATAGACAGATCATCTATGCAAAAAATCAACAAAGAAATACTAGAACTGAACCAAGCTTTTGAATGCATGGACTTATTAGACGTCTATAATGTGTTCCACCCCACAAATCAGAATATACATTATTTTCAGCTGCACATGGGTCATTCTCCAAGATAGATCACATATGAGCTCACAAAACAGGTTTGAATAAATGCAAAAGAATTGAAGTTATTCCCTGTATATTATCAAATCACAGTGCAATAAAGCTGGAGATCAACAGCATAAGAAACCGTAGGAACTTAACAAACACATGGAAATTGAACAACACTCTCCTGAACAATCAATGGATCACAGAGGAAATCAAAGAAGAAATCAGACAGTTTTTACAAATAAACAAAAACGCCAATACAATATACAG